AAACAGAACATTCAAACATGACGTTCCTTTACTATCAAGTGTAGAAGCTGTTTATTCTGCATATTCTCCATATGCGTGGTGCCTTGAGAGGAGTCAATGTGACCTACCGTAGTTGGTATCTTTGTTGTTTTGTAATTCCCTCCCAGTATGCCTCCCTAACGTACTCTGGCAAAGGCAACAGCATGACGTCACCTTTGCTGCCACCTAATGAGCCATGCCCCACTAGCCACGTACTCTATCCCAATCAACGACGCCCTGCCATCAGCACCAACAAGTTCCCCCACCAGGGCCTCAGATTCGTTTTTGGCTTGGCTGATACGTCAGCCTTAGCAGCCAACGTTAAGCTGATCAATCAGAGTTGGTTGTAAAAAAAAAACTGAAAGTTCAGACAAGTATAAAAAAAAAAAACGCTGACTAATCAGCCTCACTTAATACACTCTGGCTGATCCATGTTGAGCACTTTTTTCATTAAATTTAGCAGGCATAACAGGGAAACACTACACCACATACATGACATTAGCTAGCTGCTCATTTCATCTTCATCACTAGAACTACCTCCTGCATCTCCTACTGGCTCCTCCTCATCATCTACATCTACTGGCTCCTCCTCATCATCTACATCTACTGGCTCCTCCTCGTGCTTGCCCTTCTTGTTCTCGCCTGGGATTGGGGTGCGAATGGGAGCATTGCTGAAAGGCTTGCGCTTTCTGTAACTCCGCCAGATCTCAACTACCTCATCGTAGTTGGGCTTGTACTGCATGAGGGACAGACACATGAGGTCCCCCAGCCTCGCGTCCTTGATCCCCCCTCTCCGCCATGTCTTGATCACGTTTTGCCGAGTGAATCCCCTTTCGCACTCCACAGTGCTGAGGGGAATCACAGCCACCGCCACCCAGAGCTGCACCAGATTGGGGTAGCTCTCCCGCCAGTCTGGCGTCTTGAGGATCGCCGATAGTCCGCTGTGGAAGCCCCTCTCTTCCTTGGGGGCACGTGCAAGGACTGAACAGAAGAGGCGAAGCTCCTTGCCTGCCTGCCTCTTGTTGATGCCTGGTGGGAGGGAGGGAGGGTTAAGATGAGGCACATGACATGAGCAAACAGGTGCACCACAAAGGATTTTCAAGCATGGATACGATATCAAAGGTTCACAAAGGCGCCACAACAGACCTGGCAAGATGTCCTCACGGTCCTGAGCCTTGAACATCGTCACCAGCGACTGAAGCCACTCCAGGCAACGAGCGTTCCGCTCAGACTTGCTTTGTGGCCATGCATCTGGTGTGAACAGGCGGACTCCAGAGAGGGAGTCGAGATCACCGAGCCTTCCCTCCAGGTTCGCCACGATCCTCTCTGCGAACTCGGTGCACAACTGGATGCACCCGTCGTGGTCCTCCGGGCCGCTGTACGAGTCCACGGGCTCGTCGTGAAGGGTGAACGTGATAGAAGATGGTCGGCCGTCACTGTCGACACCTTCCACCTTCACTTCGCGGCTACACCCCGGGCCATGGCGCAGCAGGAAAGGTGACAGCCACTGGCTCATGCCGCCGCCGAAGTCATCGCCGCAGTCCACGTAGCGGCTCTCGATGTGACGCGTTGTCCGCTTGATCTGCGCATGCAAAGACACCAGATCGAGCTGGACAGACAGAGGCACACAGTGACACAGTTAGAAGGGTTAATGTGGGGACATGCGTAGCTATATTCGCACCACCTCACCTGTTTCTGCTGGAAGGTCTTGTTCAAAATGTTGAGCTGCTCAAGCACATCAGCCAGGAAGTAAAGGAAGAAGTGAAAATGGTAGGAGCTTGCCAGTTTGTACATCTTGCTGTTAAGCTCCTTCAGCAGCACAATCACTGCCGGCAAAACAGCGACAAGGCGACGAACGGCATCCCCCCTTGACAACCACTGAACGGAATGGATGCCTTGCACTTCAAGGCTCGTTTCGGTGATGACTTCCTGCAGGTCCATGAACCGTGCGTGGCGCGGTCCCGACCGACCAAGCAAATCCGCCACTGCCCGGATGAGATCGTCGACCATGTCGAAGACGGGGAGCTCCTCTGCTGCATCCTTCGCTGCAAGTGCCTCCCTGCAAGTACAACATCAAACTCAAGACATTAAACATGAGCTCGAACCACATGGCGTAACGGGCTGGAAACGTAGCAGCAGAGCTCACTTACCTGTGAGCGATGCAGTGAACGGAGACAAGGTGCGGAATCTTCTGTCGCAGGCGGACAACCAGGCCGGCCTTAGACCCCATCATCACTCTTGCGCCGTCGGTGCTAATGCCAGAAATTCTCTGTAGATCGACACCGACGGACTGCAAGTGGGAAAGCAGGATGCTCAGAAGTGAAGAAGCGTCCGCCTTTTCCACCGTGATCAGCTGCATGAACTCGGTCACGAGCACGTTGTCGCGGATGAACGAGGCATACAAGATCATGTGCTTCCCCCGGAGTCGATCCGTGCTTTCATCGATGCAGATGCCGATGAAAGGGCTTGTCAGGATGTGCTCCAGCTGAGTTGTCTGTAGCCAGGTAGCAAGGGCCTGCGTGAGCTCACCGAAGCCGTACCTACACGCAGGGAAACCAAAGACAAGAGATTAGAAGAGGGTTTAGGGTTGAACATCAAAACATCAACGCAATAAAAATGTGGCTACTACTCACGTTGTGTAGTAGGTGCCATATCCCTTCTTAGGGTAGCCCTGGACACCCTTACGCGCGAGGTACTGCACCAGCTTCACCCATGTTCCCATTGGCGCATCGCAGGAACTGACGAACAGCATGGAGTCGAGCAACGCCACGACGCGGTTCTTCTCAGCATCGATGGCGGCTCGATGTTGGTCGATCCGTGGCTGCTTTGAGGCCGCGTTCAGCAGAGCCTCTTGCTTCTCCATCGCCAGCCTGTGTTTCGTCGTGCCGGCGTGCTTGCGAAACGCCTGCGTCTGCACGTCGGTCGCCCCTCGCCCTGTCCGGCCACATCGCCCCCTGACTCCGGCATGCTTGGTGCAGACACTGCACTTAAAAGCAGGGAAACCAGATTTAGATTTGGTTAGCACAAGCCACGGGAACCTCTCAGACCACTTGGTTTTGTACTTCAAAAGAGCGTCTGCATAGACTGCCTCGATGGCCTCTGAAATGTCTATGACCAAGGATGGAAGAGGGGTTGTGTTGTTCGCGACAGGTTGCTCGACGGCGGTGCTCGAAGAAGGTTTTGCCCAGCTCAGCGTCGACTGCTTGAGCTTGAAGTTGCGCGGGCCAGTGGACTTTGTTGTTGGCGAGTCGAGAACCACCGTGTCGGAGACGGCAGCCGGCGCAGCAGGCTCACCCCGGATGGAATCCGAGCTTGAAGAAACCGGTGGGTGGTCGCGGTGCACCCTCTCGACTAGTGCTGGCTTTGCAGTAGGAAGCCTGGGAGCGAGGACACCAGGGGCAAGCGAGCGCAGGAGCATATCAAGCCCCGTCCTGGCTTCCTCTAGGCCGTCTAATTCATCATCGCTGCCTGCATCATCATCGCAACCTACGCCTTCTGCAAGGCCGGCCATGGCTGAAAGGGGAGAGCGTGCCGAGCTCCAACGTTGCTAGCTAGGGTTTGAGAAAACCAGGGCGAGAGGCGTGGATTGACAGTGCAGCTCGCCTAGGGGGTGGGTACGGTGGGGTCATCAAGAGAGAGCCATAAAAGAAGGCCCTCTCATTCTCACCACCCATCAGCTACGCGGCGCGACGAGGGGGCACCATGCACGCACTTAGATGCAGGTTCGGGGTGGGTGAGATGGGGTGAGGTGGGTGTCCTTGTCGTGAGTGCGTGCGGTGCGTTCCTGTGCTGCACTGGTGGCGGGTGATTGGCGCATAAGGGATGTGATTGGTTTACCAACGAATCACATCTATTTAAGCATTCTGTCGGTGACAACGAAGCAAACGACGAGTCGGAAATTCGTTTTCCCCCCGCGTCGGCGCTGTACATGGCAAATTTTGCGTGATTGACGGTCGATGAACCTGGACAGCCGAAACTCACGGCTCCTGCACGAATCTGTAATAGCGTGAATTCAGCCTACACTCTCGTTACAAGTCTGATAAATCAGCGAACACTTGTAAAAAAACGCTGGATAATCAGCCAAAACATTAAAAAAAAACCTGAACAATCAGCCAACACATAAAAAAAAAAAACTGAACTTTCAGCCAGCACATCGCCCACATGTCTGTGAAATCAGCGTCCAGACCCTAAATCAGCCTTTTTTTCGCTGACATCTGAGGGCCTGTCCCCCACCCATTGAATGCCCACCTTTTTTAGCAAACCAACGTATGAAGCCATCACGTGCCAAGCCCAAGGCAGTACGGTAAGTGGTATGGTGTTAATGTGTTTTCATATGTGTCACTCCGTTTCCTGTATTTGTACAAATACATATATATTGATATTCCGAATGCTGACCAATTTCTGTCACCTCCCTAACATACGGTACCTGAACCCCACTGGCCAATCAGCAAATGCCCTCTCAATAGCACTCTCTTGAAAATGAAATCAATTTTGAAAGCGAGTGTGCTCTATTTTTTATGGTTACTAAACACATAAAAGCTCTAGTGTGCCATAAATTTGGGACTCTTCATACCACTTATTATGGTCTTTAACATACCGTATTACACTGCAACCTAGACTGAAACGTACCCTCTCAAGTTTAACCTTTTCTGTTCTTTTCAGCCTGCCCCAAAACCTTGACAGGCTAATCTACTGCAATGCAATGTTTCTACTAAAAACATGACTGAATCCTAGACCCAGCCAGCAACCAGCACTACTGGTACTTCCACTTCACATACACAATGGTGTATGAATCCATGAAGGTGGCCCTACGAGGAGGGCCGGCAGGACACAGCCGGCTGTGTTGTGAACCGCCACAGGGGGGCTAGAGGGATGAAACTGGCCGGGGATGACTGTGGGCTGTGCCACACAGCCCACACACACTCATGCCCACGCCACAGCCAAAGCTCAAGGCCTTGGATCCATGCTCACTCCCTCTAACCCTACGCCTTTCCTTTCCCCTTCCCCTTGTGCCCCTTGTGCTGCTTCTTCCCCGCCCCACCCTTCCCTCCTCCTGTTCCTCCTCCCCCTCCCGATCCCCCTCCCCCCTTCTTCCCCCCCGCCCCCATCACACTGGTCATTCCCCTCCGTGCCGCTGCAAGCTTCCCAGCCCTCCGATTGAGCATCTTTGCATCCAACGGCCAGTATGCGTGAGGCTCCAGCTTCCCTTCCTTCTTCACATCGCCGCCCGCACGCCGCCCGCTGCCTGCGGCATATTCATCCCCTGTATAAGACCACCCACTACCACTACCAGTCTGCTTCTTCCCGCCACGTTTATCCTTACCAGAAGGAATGGCCTGGCCAGAATTGGCCTTGGCCTTTTTCCTCCCACCACCACCACCAGCACCAGCACCCCCTCTCTCTTCTCCCCCTTCTCCTCCTCCTCCTCCTCCTGCACCTCGCGCCCCGCGGACACGCCGGCCAAAAGCCAGCTCAGCAGCCCTCGCAGATGCCAGGCTGGCATCACCCATCGCCACGTCATCATCCTCCATTACCCCATAATCCAGATTCCCCTCTCCGTCATCCTCCCCACCTGCCCCCACCCCCTTCTTGACTCCTCCCCTCCTCCCTCTACCACTCTCTCCCCCTTCGATCTCATCCGGAACAACTATCTTTCCATCCTCTGTATACTCGAATCCCGAATCCTCCCCCTCCCCCTCCGCACCCCCATCACGATGCCGCTTCGAACCACCACCACCAGAGGAAAGGGTTCCGCGGGTGGGCTTGAGCAGGGGCGCAGAGAGGGCCCTGCGCGTGCCTGCGAGATCGAGCAGGTCCAATGGCGTGTCGCCACCTGTCTCTGTGATCCGCTCGTGCAGCTGTGGCCTGCCGTGCTGCGCCTTCTTGCCCACCCTGCAGGAGGGGGGGGGAGGGGAGGTGAGTGTGGGAGAGGGGAGAGAGTGTGAGATGAGGCAGTGACAGAGCACGTAGAGAAGACCAAAACAACTGCTTTTGTGCAGCTGCAGCCTGCTGTGCTGCGCCTTCTTGCCGTAGGGAGCGGGAAAGGGTAGGAGTGGTGTGGGTGGGAGTATGCAAGGTGTGGGGCAGCAAGGCGGAATGGGAGAAAGAGAAAGCACAGGAAGCAGTATTGCACTGGGAGAGATGGGCCGGCATACAACATACATTGCCATCAGCTGCAATTGCCAAGAGAAGAGAAGAACCCACACCTACAGAACTACACCACATACCCCAACCCATTGCCCACCCCATGCCACACCCCATTCCCCACCCCATGCCACACCCCATGCCACGTCAGCACACCTGGACGAGAGCGCGTTCGACCACGCATACTTTTTTGACCCGTCCTGGCGGGATGCTGACTTGGCGGCGCGTGATTTGCCGCCGAACACGCTGCGTTCGTCCTCGTCAGCATCGCCGTAATCCTCGTCATCGCTGAAATCGCCGTCCGCTGACGTGTCGGAAAAGAGGTTGGAGTGGCTCCAGTCGCTCGTTCTGCGGCACAGGGTAAAATGAGAGGGAAGAGGTAAGAGGGTACAAGCGGAGGGGGAAAAGAGTTAAGACCAATGCATGGGGAGGACAGAATTGCCCCCTCCTCGCCCCCTCACTCCCAACCCCCCCCCCACGGGAACCCTACACCACACCACTCACCTCGCCCTGCTTCTGCCCGACATGGTTGATTGCCCGTCACCGCCCTCCTCCCCGTCCCCTGCCTGCGAGCCCCCATTGCCCCTCATCACCCCCAACCACCCCAGCACCCCAGCACTCACCTCGCCCTGCTTCTGCCCGACATGGTCGACCGCCCGTCTCCCCCCTCCTCCCCGTCCCCTGCCTGCAAGCCCCCCTTCCTCCATCACTCACCCCCAGAAACCCCTAGCAGCGCTCTCACACCACTCACCTCGCCCTGCTTCTGCCCGACATGGTCGACCGCCCGTCACCGCCCTCCTCCCCATCCTCTGCCTGCGAGCCCTTCGCCCCCGCTCCTCCGCGCTTCTTCTCCTTGGCTTTGGCTGCTCGGGCCACCTCCTGCAACAGGAGAGAGGAAGGAGGAACGAGGGGCAAATGAGAGAGTGTTACAACAATCCGCCCCCCAGCCCACCCTTTGCCCCCGTTCCACCACGCTTCTTCTCCTTAGCCTTGGCTTCTCGGGCCACCTCCTGCCACAGAATAGGGTTGAAACGGTGCAGCACACAAGGGGAACCCGACGGGGGAACACGAGGAGGAAATGAGTGAGTAGCCAAGGCACCTGTCCATCTTTCCCCCCCTTTGCTCCGGCCACCGTTGCACGGCAGGGCGGCAGCAACACACGGAAGGATACTAGCCTTGAGGTGACTTTTGAGTCGACTCAAAAGTCACCTCGCCACCGTTGCACGGCAGGGCGGCAGCAGCACATAGAAGGATACTAGCCCTGAGACTCACCTGTCCGCCCTGAAAGAGACCCACCCACCTTGCGGATGTGAGTGAGCAGGCGCTGATGCTCCTCCGGCACCACTGCTGCCACCGTGGCATGGCATGGCAGGGCGGCAGCAGCACATGTACATGCACGCATACTAGCCTGAAGTGCCACCTGTTTGCCTCCTGTCCCACCCACCTTGCGGATGTGCGTGAGCAGGCGCTGATGCTCCTCCGGCGCCACTGCTGCTACCGTGGCATGGCAAGGCGACAGCACATGCAAGCACACATACTAGCCTTGAGTTTCACCCTTCTGCCTTGACTTACCTTGCGGATGTGCGTGAGCAGGCGCTGATGCTCCTCCGGCACCACTGCTGCCACCGTCGCATGGCCGCATCGCCTCGCCAGCCGCTGCACTATCTTGCGCACCTGAAGGGGGGACGGGAGTGAGGGGGGAGGGTGGGGAAGGGATAGAAAGTGGGTAGGGCTGACAGTAAGCAGGCAGCAGGGTGAAGGCAGCAGGGTGAAGGCAGCAGGCAGCAGGCAGCAGGGAGCAGGGTGAAGGCAGCAGGCAGCAGGGAGCAGGGAGCAGCGCTTGAGCATTCCACTCCATGTCATTACCTTGGCCTTGAACCGGGTTGCATTTCACGTGTTTGAAGAAGTCTTTTGAGACGTCTCAAAGCATTCCACTCCATATCATTACCTTGGCCTTGAACCAAATTGCATTTCACCAGGCCCAGACACGCCTTGAGCATTCATTATCATACCTTGGCCTTGAACCTGGTTGCAACGATTTCATTCGTGCACAGCAGAGCACTCATGATCGCCGGCAGGTGAGCCTCCAGGTCAGCAGTTTCCAGGCGCACAGATAGCACCTTCACCAGGCCCAGACACGCCTTGAGCACATCGCGGTGCGGCGAGCGGAAGAGGAGGAGGAGGGACGGGAGGAGCGAGGGGACGAGGTGGAGCAGCGAGGAGGAGAAGTGGAAGATGAGGCGAGCCAGGGCCATCACTGCTGCGCTCTGGCCGTGCGGGGTGCTGCTGGCTAGCCCTGCCATCACCTGTAAACACCCGAGGAGAAAGGGGGGGAAGAGAGGGAGGGGGGGGGGGGGGGGGAGGGAGAGAAACCGCAAGCAAAAAGATCAGAGGGAGGGGAAAGGAGGGGCATAAATCAGAGGAGCAAGGGGAGCCGCGATGGCAGGAGCGAGGGCACGAGGTGGAGGAGCGAGGAGGAGAAGTGGAAGATGAGGCGAGCTAGGGCCATCACTGCTGCGCTCTGGCCGTGCGGGGTGCTGCTGGCTAGCCCTGCCATCACCTGGAAGAGGGGTGTGTGAAAGGGAGAAACCACAAGCAAGGAGCAAAAGGAGGCTAAAGAGAGGGGCATAAATCAGATTAGCAAAGGGAGCAGAAAGGGGAGCAGGGGGCGAGAGGAGCAGCGAGGGCACGAGGTGGAGCAGCGAGGAGCAGAAGTGGAAGATGAGGCGAGCGAGGACCATGACTGCTGCGCTCTGCCCGTGTGGAGTGCTGCTGGCCAGCCCTGCCATCACCTGTGAGAGGTGCAAGGAAAGGGGCAGGGAGGGAGCATAAGCATATATGGGCGATGACATGGGGTGCAGGAATGAGGCGAGCGAGCAAGGCCCATGACTGCTGCGCTCTGCCCGTGCGGGGTGCTGCTGGCCAGCCCTGCCATCACCTGAGATAGGTGCAAGGAAAGGGGGCAAGCAGATGCAGAGGGGGGGGAACCATACGGTTGTGAGCACCAGCCTTGACTTGTGAGTCGACTCAAAAGTCTCCGGCTTTTTCGCGCACAAAGAGAATGGGACCCAGAATCGAGAAAAGGAACTCCGAGAAACGAGGGAACGAACGAACCATGGTGAAGAACTTGAGGAAGGGCGAATCGGCATCATCATCATCAGCGGAACCAGCACCATCCATGGACTGATCGCCACTGAAACCGCCGTACATGATCCCTCCAGCCGCCAAGAATTTCTGCTCGTGCTGCTCGTCTGCCAGTCGCTGCATCTCCTTGGCGAGAGCTATGATGAGCTGATAGGCTGCGTCGCGTGCCTTGCGGTTCACCTGGGGGGGAGAGAGTGGGCGGGTGTGACAGAAGTAGGTTTTGCCGCTGGTGCTGCTGCCAGTGCTGCTCGTCTGCCAGTCGCTGCATCTCCTTGGCGAGAGCTATGATGAGCTGATAGGCTGCATCGCGTGCCTTGCGGTTCACCTGGGGGGGAGAGAGTGGGCGGGTGTGACAGAAGTAGGTTTTGCCGCTGGTGCTGCTGCCAGTGCTGCTCGTCTGCCAGTCGCTGCATCTCCTTGGCGAGAGCTATGATGAGCTGATAGGCTGCGTCGCGTGCCTTGCGGTTCACCTGGGGGGGAGAGAGTGGGCGGGTGTGACAGAAGTAGGTTTTGCCGCTGGTGCTGCTGCCAGTGCTGCTCGTCTGCCAGTCGCTGCATCTCCTTGGCGAGAGCTATGATGAGCTGATAGGCTGCGTCGCGTGCCTTGCGGTTCACCTGGGGGGGAGAGAGTGGGCGGGTGTGACAGAAGTAGGTTTTGCCGCTGGTGCTGCTGCCAGTGCTGCTCGTCTGCCAGTCGCTGCATCTCCTTGGCGAGAGCTATGATGAGCTGATAGGCTGCATCGCGTGCCTTGCGGTTCACCTGGGGGGGAGAGAGTGGGCGGGTGTGACAGAAGTAGGTTTTGCCGCTGGTGCTGCTGCCAGTGCTGCTCGTCTGCCAGTCGCTGCATCTCCTTGGCGAGAGCTATGATGAGCTGATAGGCTGCGTCGCGTGCCTTGCGGTTCACCTGGGGGGGAGAGAGTGGGCGGGTGTGACAGAAGTAGGTTTTGCCGCTGGTGCTGCTGCCAGTGCTGCTCGTCTGCCAGTCGCTGCATCTCCTTGGCGAGAGCTATGATGAGCTGATAGGCTGCGTCGCGTGCCTTGCGGTTCACCTGGGGGGGAGAGAGTGGGCGGGTGTGACAGAAGTAGGTTTTGCCGCTGGTGCTGCTGCCAGTGCTGCTCGTCTGCCAGTCGCTGCATCTCCTTGGCGAGAGCTATGATGAGCTGATAGGCTGCATCGCGTGCCTTGCGGTTCACCTGGGGGGGAGAGAGTGGGCGGGTGTGACAGAAGTAGGTTTTGCCGCTGGTGCTGCTGCCAGTGCTGCTCGTCTGCCAGTCGCTGCATCTCCTTGGCGAGAGCTATGATGAGCTGATAGGCTGCGTCGCGTGCCTTGCGGTTCACCTGGGGGGGAGAGAGTGGGCGGGTGTGACCAGGGTTCAAAAAAACGACCGTTTTATTGAAATTTCACCGTAAAAAACGGTACCGTAAAAAACGGTCGTAAAAAACGGTTTAAAACGGTTCCAGGATGTGTTTCCTCTATAACTAACAAAACGGCCACTTATTGGGACCAAATTGAACCCGAAATGCAGCAGCATGAAGGGGATGGACCCCTTCTTGCATGTATGCGCTTGTTGGCATGATCGAAAATGTTTTTGACCTTGTTTTTTTCTTTTTTTTTCTTGGTGAACAGAGATCTCTAACAAAAAAACGGCCGTTTTTTTGAAAAATCACCGTAAAAAACGGACCGTATTTTACGAAAACCGTAATTTTGAACCTTGGGTGTGACAGAAGTAGGTTTTGCCGCTGGTGCTGCTGCCAGTGCTGCTCGTCTGCCAGTCGCTGCATCTCCTTGGCGAGAGCTATGATGAGCTGATAGGCTGCATCGCGTGCCTTGCGGTTCACCTGGGGGGGAGAGAGTGGGCGGGTGTGACAGAAGTAGGTTTTGCCGCTGGTGCTGCTGCCAGTGCTGCTCGTCTGCCAGTCGCTGCATCTCCTTGGCGAGAGCTATGACGAGCTGATAGGCTGCATCCCGGGCCTTGCGGTTCACCTGGGAAGGGAGAAAGAGGGAGTGTGTGAGAAGAGCGTGAGTTGCAGCAGCACAATGAGATTTGAAGGCTCTTGGATCAGATAGTGTGTTCAAGCCATCACCTCACCTCTTTCACGGACAGCACAATCTCAGTGAGTGTGGCAGCCACTGCTTCATGAAACGCCGGAACATTGGAGCGAGCCAGATGCAGCAGCACGGCTGAGAGGCTCTTGATGCGGTAGTGGCGAGACGGCGAGTGCACCCCACCCACGCCCATCAGCAGCTCCTCCAACACTGCCTTTGCTAGCACGCCTCCCCCTGCTGCTCCGCCTGGTGCTCCCCCTGCCACGCCCTCGGATTGCTGGCTCAGGAGCTCTGGGTGTGTCTGGGAGAGAGGGTGGGGGGGGGGGGGGGGAGGAAGGAAATGGACAGCTCTTGATGCGGTAGTGGCGAGACGGCGAGTGCACCCCACCTACGCCCACCAGCAGCTCCTGCAACACTGCCCTTGCCAACACGCCCCCCCCTGCTGCTGCTGCTCCTCCCTCTGATTGCTGGCTCAGGAGCTCTGGGTGTGTCTGCAGGTGTGGATGGGGAAAGCACAAGTGAGGGCAGGAAGAAGGGGGAGACAGGCGGGCCGCTCTGGATGTGGTAGCGTCATGAGGTCAACGCACCCATTCCCATCAGCAGCTCCGCAAATACTGCCCTTGCTGACACGCCCTCCCCACCTGGCGCTTCTGCTTCCATGCTTCTGCTTCGATTTCTTAGGTAGGCACGTCGAAAATCCTTCCATGCTTCCATGCTCTCATCCCATGCTGATCTGATGTGACACAACAAGTCACACGAGCATACCTCAAGCAGCGATGCGAGCAGCTTGTATGCTTTCTTCTGCACGGCAGCAGACTTGTCCTGGATGGCGAAGTGATGGTGGTGGTGATGATGATGGTGATGGTGGTGGTGGTAATGGCATGGCAATGCATACCTCAAGCAGTGATGCGAGGAGCTTGTAAGCCTTCTTCTGCACGGCAGCAGACTTGTCCTGGATGGCGGGCCTCGTTGCGTTGTAGAGCGCACGGCAGCACTCCACGTCCAGGCCCGGTAGCAGGGAGAGCGAGAGATCCATGAGCATGGCCCTGGTAGTTTGGGGGGGGAGGGGAGGTGGGGGAAGGGGGGGTCACGGACGGGATGTCAATGACACTCTCCTGGATGGCGGGCCTCGTTGCGTTGTAGAGCGCACGGCAGCACTCCACGTCCAAGCCGGGCAGCAGAGAGAGCGAGAGATCCATGAGCATGGCCCTGTGCAAGGGGGGAAGGGGGCGCGAGAGGGGGGGGGGACGTTGAGGGAGAGCGAGAAAGAGGGGGTGAGGTGTGTTGTAGGGTAGAGCACGGCAGCACTCCACGTCCAAGCTGGGCAGCAGGGAGAGCGAGAGATCCATGAGCATGGCCCTGGGGGAAAGGGGAGGGCGAGACAGAGAAGGAAGATAAATCCACCAGAGGCTGCAATGTGTGTGGCGGAGAGCAGTTTGCTGAGTGAAGAAGTGCTCACACTGACCAGTCATAATATTCTTGACGAAGTGAACACACTGACCTCGTGTGATGAGTCGATTTTTGAGTCGACTCATCACACGAGAGCAGTTTGCTCATGATACTTGTGAAGAAGTGGGCACACACTCACCTCTTCTCGCCAGCTTCCTTGCTCGAATCTCCTCCTGCTGCTGCACCCGCACCAGCACCACCAGAGGCAGCAGCGTGTGTAGCGGAGAGCAGTTTGCTCATGATATTCGTGAAGAACAGTCGAAGGGCCGCCGGGTCAGCAACAGCAGCGAGTAAAGATCACTAGATTCCCCCCACTCACCTCTTCTCTCCGGCTTCCTTGCTCGCATCCCCTGCTCCTGCTGCTGCGCCGGCACCAGCACCAGCACCACCAGAGGCAGCAGCGTGTGTAGCGGAGAGCAGTTTGCTCATGATATTCGTGAAGAACAGGCGAAGGGCCGCCGAGTCAGCAACAGCAGCGAGTAAAGATCACTAGATTCCCCCCACTCACCTCTTCTCTCCGGCTTCCTTGCTCGCATCCCCTGCTCCTGCTGCTGCGCCGGCACCAGCACCAGCACCACCAGAGGCAGCAGCGTGTGTAGCGGAGAGCAGTTTGCTCATGATATTCGTGAAGAACAGGCGAAGGGCCGCCGAGTCAGCAACAGCAGCGAGTAAAGATCACTAGATTCCCCCCACTCACCTCTTCTCTCCGGCTTCCTTGCTCACATCCCCTGCTCCTGCTGCTGCGCCGGCACCAGCAGCAGCACCACCAGAGGCAGCAGCGTGTGTAGCGGAGAGCAGTTTGCTCATGATATTCGTGAAGAACAGTCGGAGGGCCGCCGGGTCAGCCACAGCAGCGAGAGCCCCGATGGCACTCTGAAGTTCGCCCCTCTTGGCTGATGGGGCCGCCACGAACGCGTCAAACAGCATCGGGAGGAAGGGACGGGCCGAGCCTGACATGGCCGCCAGGTTGGCGGCTGCCACGTCAGCGGTGAGCTGGCGCCACGCGCGGCGCTCGGCATCGGTGGTGTCGTCGTCGTCCTCTAGGGCCGCCCGGAACGCTGCTTCTGCTTCAGGTGCTGCAGAGGGAGCAGCAGCAGCCGCTCCAGCAGAGTCAGAAGCAGCACTGTCCGTGATGGCAGCAGCAAGGGCGGTGGTGGGAGCACCTGAGAGGCCATCAAAGGCTGTGAGGCGCTTGGAGAGGGGCGGACGACCCATGGCCATGCGGTTCTGATCCACCATCAGCTGAGAAGGGACAGGGGAGGGAGAAGGGATGGGGGCGGTTGGAGGGTAAGGGGGTTGCTGGGTGTTGCTAGATCTTGGAGAGGGGCGGGCGACCCATGGCCATGCGATTCTGATCCACCATGAGCTGGTGGGGGTAGGGGGGAGAGGAGGGAAGGAGGTGAAGGGGGATGGGTATGTGGGTATTTTCTTGCACTTGGTGAGGGGCGCGCGACTTATGGCCATGCGATTCTGGTCCACCATGAGCTGGTGGAAGGAACGGAGCACAGAGGGGACGAGGGGGGAGGGAAGATCGGAAGAAGGGGAGGAGGTGACGAGTGGGTGGGGGGAAGTGACGGGATGGGAAAGGTGCGAGTTTGCACGAGGAGATGGGCACAGAGCGACGTGTTTGAGACGACGTGCGAGCTTTGAGACGTCTCAAAACACTTCTTCAAACACGAGGAGATGGGCACAGAGCGGGCAAAAACTAGTCTGGAGAGGGACACAGAGGGTGGTAAGCTAACAAAAGCAGATTGGAGAGAGAGACTTGCGTTACCTGCAGGGTGACACGGACTGCAGACCAGTTTCCAGTCGACTAAAAAAACGCAGGCTAGAGAGAATTTGATAAACAAAAAAGAGACTCGTTAAAGACTTGCTTTACCTGCAGGGTGACACAGACTGCAGACCGGATTCCATCGCCCTCATCGCCCTTCCCTCCTGCTGCCACTGCTTCCGCCAGGTGCTTAGCTAAGTGCGGAAACACCTGCATGCGAATCAATGCAGTTGAGGAGCATCCAAAAAGGGGGGAGAAAGAAAGGAAATCAGGTAAGGATTTGACGGCAGTGCTTCTGTCAAAAAAACTCCCATCCCTCAATCCAATCTAGTCACCCACCTCCCCACCTCCCCCAACTGCCCCTTCCTCTCAATCACCTCCCCCCTGCTTACTCCACCCACCATCCCCCTCTCACCTCAAAACTCCCACCACGTCTCTCCCGCCCCCCACCTCCTCTCTTCCCACCCGTATCCCCCCACCTGCGCAGTGTCCGGCGCCAGGCTGGCGACAGCGGGCAGCAGCGACCACACCGCCGCCCGCAGCGCCGCCAGCTGCTTGGCCGCGATTGGCCGGTCGACCTGGGGCGAGCGGGCTTGCTGGGCGGCAAGGAGGAGGTGGTGGGAGAGGGGGAGGAGGGCGGTGAGGACCAAGGAGAGCGACTCGCCCGCCGTGTGGCGGCGCAGGATTGGCAGCAGCCACACACGTGGCGCCGCGGGAGTGGCCGCCGCCGCCGCTGCTGCTGCTGCCACTCCTGCTGCTGCTGCGGAGGCAGTAGGTCCGGCAGCAGGTGCGGGAGCAGGTTCAGGGTCAAGGCCGAGAGGGAGGATGGAGAGGAAGCGGGAGGGGCCCATAGCGGCAACAGCAGCGCCGAGAGCAGCGTGCAGGTGCTTGCGGTGGGCCATCTCTGTGTCTGGTAGGTCGTGCAGATCAGCAAGGGTGACGAGGGTTGGGGCGAGGAAGAGGTGGGAGGAGGGACCTGCGTTTGGGGGGCATAAGAGGGGGTAGAGGGAGACAGAGCGGCATGGGGTAAAAGCAGCGCCGAGAGCAGCGTGCAGGTGCTTGCGATGGGCCGTGTCTGTGTCTGGGAAGTCGTGCAGATCGGCCAGCGTGGTGAGGGTTGGGGCGAGGAAGAGATGGGATGAAGGAAGCAGAGAAGGAGGGGTGGTTGAGCTGAGCGGGCAGTAGCGCTGCGGAAGCGTTGGGGGCCCGCTCAACGCTATGGAAGTGGCCCATAGCGGAAGCATTGGGGGCCCATAGCGGAAGCGTTGGGGGCCCGCTCAACGCTATGGAAGTGGCCCATAGCGGCTCCCCTCGCGTCCCGTGTTGCATGAACGACTTACCAATATGGTCAAAGAGGGTAGCAACTAGAAGCAGAGACAGGTCCCACGAGGCACGGAGCTGATACCCCAGCGCCCGCTCCACCGCCACACACACTCGCTCCACCGGCGCTTTCCCCTTCCCCAATCCCTCCACCCCCACCCACACCCTTTCTCCCTCACTGCCCTTCCCCTCGTGTCCGTCCTTGCAAGAACACTCACCTATACGATCGAACAGGGTAGCCACAAGAAGCAACGACAGGTCCCACGAGGCACGGAGCTGATACCCCAGCGCCCGCTCCACTGCCACACACACCCGCTCCACCGGCGCTTTCCCCTTCCCTCCCCCTCCCCCTGCTCCCCCTGCTTCCCCCCCTGCGCCTTCCTGTGCCTGGCGCTGCTGCACGATAGCGGCAGAGGCAGCAACAGCAGCATCGTCGAGGCAGGTGGAGATTAAAGCCTTGAGGCAGTCCGCCGTGGCGAACGCCACCTCCTCGTGCCCGCTCGCCAGGTTGTCTGGTTTATGAGGGGGGGGTGGGGATGATGGGAAGAGCAGAGCACTGCATTGAATTGAAGCACCACCCTGAGGCCAGCAGAGGCGGCGACAGCAGTGTCGTCGAGGCAGGAGGAGATAAGCGCCTTGAGGCAGTCCGCTGTGGCGAATGCCACCTCCTCGTGCCCACTCGCCAGGTTGTCTGGTTTGGGGAGAAGGTGGAGGGGAAGGGGGGAGAGGGGTGGTGATGGGAGAAGGGAGGTGGGAGAGGGATATGCAGGCGCAGATAAGCGCCTTGAGGCAGTCCGCTGTGGCGAATGCCACCTCCTCGTGCCCGCTCGCCAGGTTGTCTGGTGGTGGGAAAGGGGAGGGAGAGGCGTGGTGGTGGGGGAAGAGAGGTAGGTAGAGGGAGGGAGGTAAGTATGTATGGGAGTGAGGCCACAGTCATAAAGCCTAAAGACATTATTTGGTCATACACCCGTGATGCTGTTGCACAATCATGCTAAACTGACCAATGAGAGTGAAGAACGTGGACGGCAGCAGGCTGACGCACGCCTCAGCGTCCATCGCATGCAGACGAATCAACGCCGCCCGCACGCACTCCAGCAGAGCACGCACCGCTGCTACATCCGTCTTCCCCCTCCCCCCTGCGCCTCCCCCGCCCCCTGCCCCCCACCCGCCGCCCGCCCCTCCCCCCATCGCCTGTCTCTCCCCCTCCTGCTTCAGCAGTCGCGCCACCACCTCTGAAATGAGGGATTTAGAGACGGGTGACGTTGCAGCTGACGTGGCCGGGGCTGGAGCTGACATAAGCGAGTGGAGGGCGTCCAGCACACGGCAGGCGAGAAGAGGGTGTCGAATCTCGAGAAGCTCGACCAATCGGAGAGTGACACGTGGCAGGGAGGGAGGGGAGAGGAGCGGGAGCAGCGGGCGGAGGCAGGAGATGAAACGGAGCACTGCTGCCGCTGACGTCGCAGCTGCCTCTTGTAACGATTGCTGCTGCTGACGTGGCTGTTCGAGCTGCTTGGAAGGAGCGAGCGCCCGGACGATGAGGGCGTCGGCGAAATCGACGAGTGCTGTCGAGGCAGCGGCAAGGGCGGCGGGAGAGGCGCGGAAGGTCCTGAGAAGCTTCAGGAGGGCGGATTGCGCCACGCTGCGAACCTGCACGCGGACAAGAGGGGGCAAAGTTGGGGTGGAGGGGGGGGGGGAAGGGCGGAGAGGGGCCGGGGGGGCGGAAGGGCAGGGGAGAGGGGCAGGGGTAGGTGCAGCGGCAAGGGCCGGGAAGGGTAAGGGAAGGGGGAGCAGGGCAGGGCAGGAAATGTGAGGGGAGAACAGGGGGTGCAGGGCAAGGGTAGGAGGGAAGGGGGAGAAGCGGGGATGATTAGAGAGAGGACAGTAAGAGGCATTGGCCCATATGAAGCCCGAACCCTAAAACTCTGACCGCATTGTGGAATCAGATGGTTAAACCCCGAACCCTCAATGATGCGAGTAATTCAGCTTGCCGTTGTGAGACGCAGGATGCCGTTACGCGGCAAGGTTCGGGTGGGGGTGAGGGGTTGTTGGGGGGGAGGGAGGAAGAGAAGGGGGGAGAGGAACTAAAAAAACGACTCGAAACTGACAAGAACCGACCATTGCAACGCACCTTCGGCTGACTCGCTACAGAGTGATCCAACACCGCCTTAAAACCCGCCGCCACGTCAGCCGTCCACGCGTTCTTGGGGTCGCCGCAGCCCGCAACCCTCGCTGCAATCACATACCCCAGACAATCCACCGCCGCCGCAACCACCCTCCGCCGATCCTCCGCCCACGCCTGCCCTGTGCCGCCCACACTGCCGCCCGGGCCTTTTGTCGTTTTGCCAGCTTCGTCCTCCTCCTCCATCAATTCTTCTCCTACCACCTTATCCGCGCTATTAGTAGGTCCGGTTGCGTTTGTAGCCCCCCAAAGATCGACGGCGGCAGTTAGCAGTGGCAGGAGCCGGGCTGCGTTCAGCCGTACGATCGACTCTGGCGTGAGAGGGATCGCGAGATCCAGCAGCGCTAAGACAGCATCCAGACCGTTCACAGGTTTATCGAAGGGTTTGGGGTTTACGCTGCGAGATCCTCCCGTGCCGGCCGCTCCTCGAATTTCAACCGCGGATTTCAAAGACTCCGCCGTCTCCAACGCCGAAATAAGCGCCGCAAAGTACGCCGTGGGTGACGGCGACAATCCCTGGGATCTGATGACGTCAGCGGTGGCGGAAGCGACGGCGAGGACGGTCTGCCTCTCTCGCGCGCTGTGCCACTTCGTATTCTCCGCCGCCGCCGCTACCGCATCGCCGCCAGGCGGGCCCATCGCTGCGTCGGGGAAGAACGACGCGCTGGCGAGTTGTGGTGGCGGAGCGACGCGAACTTCTTGCTGACGAAGCTCCCTGCTCGGCAATTGAATGGACAACCGAGGAATGCAAGGGGTTTTGTCAGGGGATACTCGCTACGGAGTCATCCAGAGCGGTTTTATTCTGTAACGAAAACAAGTATCCGTTGTAGTTTCATTATTCACCAAATAACCCAACTTGTTCTAGCGTTTCAATTGTTATGATTCCCAAGATAAATCAACAATACAGTAAAATAAATGCAGGAATTAGGGCATAAGAAACACTTAATCCCAATCACTAGACACAGAGTTCATAACACGTACCCCCTTACTTGTACAACATACAAACATACATAACAATTTTCTACATCTCCATCATTCTGCATCATCAGCCATCCACATCCCAAACCAACACATGATCCCATGAGCAGCAGCCATCATCCGTTGTCCCCTATTTCAGTTAGCCCCACCCAGCGGTGAGGTGAAAGGCCCAGCACAAGCGCCAATGTCAGCTTTAATTGCCGCCGCCACTAGGAGAACGACCAGTACTGCCACCAGGCGCGCCAGTGGGGGCACCAGAGCCAGCTCCGCCCCCAGACGCGCCAGAGACAGTACCCCCGCCAGGTGCGCCAGAGGGTGCGCCAGAGCCACCCCCGCCAGGCGCGCTGGAACCACTACCCCCACCAGGCGCGCCAGAGGGAGCACCAGAGCCAGCACCCCCGCCAGGCGCGCCAGAGGGTGCGCCAGACCCTATTCCGCCGCCCTTTCCTCCCTTCCCCCCCTTGCCTCCCTTTATGCCCTTTCCGCCCTTGCCACCCTTCCCGCCCTTACCAACCTTTCCGCCAGGGCTCTTCTGTGGTCCGCTTGTGTTGTAGACAGGGCTGACTTTATCAGACTAAAATAGTCTGATTGTCTGAAATCTCAGGGTATTTTCCTACGGATCTTGATTTTTCAGACTTGTAAGATTTTCAAACATGAGTGCCTCAGACTTACTTGGTTTTGGATCCTGAGATTTTCAGAGTACTGACTTAGCCGATAATGGGTCTTCATACTACAGGGAGTACGGATCCTGAAATGCGGATCTGTGATTTCTACGTACATTCCGCTACGTCATATGTTGCCAGTGTACGAACACACTTCATGGCGCTGTCACGCGCAGAATCTGTCCTTGGCAACTTTTGCCACCCTTTTCCCTTAGAAATCTGCCAACTTGGCTCACTCTTCCACTCACGCGGGACCATCACTGCAGCTACGCGGTGTCAGCGAGGGAAATTGGTTAGCGTTGCGCCCCACGTGCTACATTTGTGGCAGTACTGTACTGCAGTGGTTGTAGTGTGTTCTGAGTACTTCAGACTTGTGTTTTTGCGGAACCTGAAAATTCAGAGTGGCCATTCTCTGGGAAATATGCCTCAGACTAAAAATTTTCAGAGCCCCCAGAACATCAGACTGGATTTTTTTGAATAGTCAGCCCTGGTTGTAGAGGACTCTCCTCTACTTTGCAGGAACTGGGAAATGTTCTAAACGATAGAGCACACTGCTGGCTTTCCAACGAGCCGTCAAACACGCGATTTGCCTAAGTAACGAGAGAGTTATAGGCGTTTATGTGCTTGCTAGTGCTCTTAGAACAAAGGATAGGAGCTCTCTGGATTTTGTAGTCGAGTGTATCACATACAAAGTGATTCAGGTTTTCAGTATGATGCATGCAATACAAAGCAACTAGTTTTATAGCATCCAATCAACATCGAGCCGCACATGTAACCTCGAACCGCGGTACACTCGAATGTTCGAGTAACATTTCGAAGGGGTGAAATTCGACTCTCGAATTTCACCGAATCGAATTCTCCCTGAGTCTCGATTCTTCTTGTGCTGCCATGTGGCACCGAAATGCAAGTCTCTCGAAGTCAATATGCAACTTCACAGAACCTGCAGTGAAGTCAAGTAGAAGCAACACATTCAGTGGGTTGGGGGCATACAACCACCCCACCACCACTTGCTTCAACCACACTCAACCTCCAACAGCTTGATGGCGCACCATTTCCGCATGCAGGAGTGCCCTGGTGGTCTCCGCCCGCTGGGGGACCCGTAGGGGGACCTTGCTGGTCTGCGCCCGCAGGGGGACCTTTCGTCTCCCCGCCGGCGGGGGGACCTTGCTGGTCTCCGCCCGCAGGGGGACCCTGCTTCTCCCCGCTGGGAGGTGGAGGCGGAGGCGGAGACGGAGGCGGAGACGGAGGCGGAGGCGAAGGCGGAGGCGGAGACGGAGGCGGAGGCGAAGGCAGAGGCGGAGACGGAGGTGGAGGCGAAGGCGGAGGCAGAGGGGCCGTAAGTCCGCCGCTCACGAGGGTTACCACGCCATCATCTCCTCCTCCGGTCAGGGGGCCCGAAAGGTTACCCTCGCCAATGCTACCGATTCTCAAGTCGCCGGGACCAATCAGGTCTTCCAATTTCAAGGCGGTCGTTGGCACCTGGACGGAATCCGCCGTCGCGTCGACGATTTCCATTTGCGTTGACGAGGAGGAGGCGGACTTGAGGAGGGAGAGGGCCCTGAGGGCCAGACTGCGCCGATGGGAGACGAACCGCGAGTACGCTGCGCGGAGAGTAACGGCTTGAGCAGATGAAGGAAGATCATGCAGGATCGGAAGGTGATCGGAAATGAGAGGCATTGCGGAAAATGATGCTCGCCGAGTACAGCCATGTGCTCTACCATGTTCAAGCGCCTTGCGCAATATTTTAGTCCAATAAGTTTTTGCTAGACACACATAAAAATGGGCGCTCGCTGGAAGCCAGAAGGCGAGAACGTCGAGAGAACCAGAAACGCTTTATTTACGAGGACTGACATGTGCTGACGCCAGAAGGAGCGTCAACAGCAACAGCGGCACAGCCGCACTTCGCGCTGTCCAAGTCATTACTTTGGTCCTGAATCGCAGAGATTTAATGGAGTGGTAATCTCACAAGGGAAACGGTTGATGGTGACCAATACAGAAAATGATCAGAGTCGGCCTGGGAAATTGCGGGAGTGGTGGTAGAAGAAGGCGGTGAAGAGGAGTGCTTCCAGGAAACGATACCGTAAGAGGCGGCCTTCACAAATCGGTTTCGAGAGCACTGGGCGAGATAAAAACAATTTTGCCAGGTAGGAACGAGTGAGTACTGTAGCTGGTTCCGCCGCATGCACCGCAGGCTTTGCGAGGAGCAGATCAATGGTGCGAACCGCGAAGTCGCCTTTCGTTAGTTACCTGACCAGCAACTTTGTGATTATGGAAATGGAGGGAAATCTGCAGCTGATTCACACATTTGGAACCCATTGTCAAACATTATATATGTTTCTGTTGTGTAGGCTACAGTGGGTTAGCCTTTACGGGGTACATTTCACTAGGGTTTCCTACTTGTACTCCAACATCTTTCTAGTTCAACACTTCTTGTTTCTGACATGGTATTAAGAGCTTAGGTTCTAGACCTAAGGGCCCACCGTTCCGCTAGAGGTGCCCTCGTGCGCCCTTTTTTTTTAGCGCCCTCGTGCGCCTCTCCCCTAGTGCGCCCTCGTGCGCTCTCCTCTCACGCTGCCCGTGTGCAGCCCGCTAGCAGCCCGAGCGCGGCCCCGCCGTTTTAGCGCGCGTAGGAAATTCGCCGCCTAGGGCGGCCCGATTTTTTCTCGCGAGCCCCAGCAGGCCGTTGCCCGTAGGCCCCGCTCGCCCCTAGGCCGACGCGCGACCCACAGCCGCCCGCCCGCAGGTCGCAGCCAGCGCGCCGCGGCGATCGCGCATCGGCTGCTGCAGCTAGCGCTTAGCCGCCGCTCGAACGCAGCCGCGGCCCGCGCGCAGCCGCACCCTAGGCGCCGCCGCGCACCGAGCATAGGCTCGCCGTCGCGCCGCCATACCTACCCGAGCCGCGCCGCCCGAGTCGCGCCGCCCGAGTCGCGCCGCCCGAGTCGCGCCGCCCTGACCGAGCCGCGCCGCCCTACCTGCAGCAACTGCTCTTCCTGCTCCTACTGCTTCTACTGTTGCTACTGCCAGTGCTGCTACTGCTACTACTGCTACTGCTACTACTACTACTGCTACTGCCACTATGGCCAGTCCCACTGTTCTCACCTTTGACGCCGAGGGCCGCCCGATTAAGTTCGATGTCTGGCTTGATGACCTTCACCTGTACCTCCAGATCACTGCCAAGGATGATGTTTCCCTCTATGACCACACGTCCGGCGCTGCTCCCGCACCTGCTGCTACTGCTGACAGTACTGCTCGCTCACAGTGGCAGACTCGTGACGCCCATGCTCGCCTAGCCGTTCGCAGCCACCTGCCGTTAGATGAGCGCGAGCACTTCGGCCAGCATAAGACCGCTAAGGAGCTGTATGACGCCGTAGTTGCCCGCTACTCCTCCCCTGCCACTGCTGCGATAGGCCGTCTCTCATTGCCCTACCTCTTCCCCGATCTGTCTGCCTTTGCCACTGTAGCTGACCTCATCACTCACCTCTGTACTAGTGATCTCCACTACCGTGCCGCACTCCCCCCCGATTTCCTAGCCAAGAACCCCCCCCCGATGTACCTCACCCACTACCACCTGGTCACTCGCCTCCCTGACTCTCTTCGCGCTGTCAGGGACCACTTTCTCGCTCTCTCCCCCACAGACCTCACTGTCGACCTGCTCGAGAAGGAACTCCTCGCAGCTGAGAAGAGCATTGTAGCTGTAGGTGCCTCTCGTGGCGACCCTCGCACTCCCTTCTTTGAGGGATGTTCCCCCTCCCCCCTTCTCCCCTCCATTGCATCTGCTGCTGCTGTCGACTACCTCGGTGCTGAGGGGGTCGGAGCTGCGTTCGCTCCCAGTGGGAGGTGCAGGGGCGGCAGGGGCAAGGGGGGCCGGGGTGGAGGAGGCAGCGGCGGGGGAGGTGGTGGTGGAGGGGGTGGAGGGGGCGGCGGCGGTGGCGGCAGTGGTGGGAGTGGTGCTGGTGGTGGGGGGGGCAGTGGCGGAGCCGGGGGTGCTGGAGGCGGCGG